TAGAGACTGAGCAGCTATGACGCATTTGATACATATAAAAGAACATATTCAATGTATATGTAGGTTGTAAAGCATAACAATAAAGTGTCCCTCTGTGAAGGCGCCCCTGGGGCTCTCCATGGGCCACACTGCTTCCAGATGAACTCGGCAGGATCCCGCCAGGAGCCACGCCGAGCCCAGAGCTTTCCAGGCTTCTGTCCTGTGACTCTCACTGCCCCTGGGGGCGCGGGGGCGGGCCCTACCTCCTTGGTGTACAGATGGAGAAACTGAGGTGCTGGGGCTTTTCCAACTAGGCCCAGGCCCCCTGCCAGGATAGAGCCCAGGCTTCCACACCTGGCTGCTTGTCACACCCTCTGGGGACATTTTTAAATGTAGGTCCCTGAGCTTTATCCCTGACCTTGTAGTTCGGAATTTCCAGAGCGGTGGCCCAGGAAGGCATTTTCTCCCCACCAAGTCTCCAGGCGCCTCTGATGCAGCTGGCCCACAGCCCGGGCTGGGGGACTAACGTTCTCTGGCACCTTGGTCGGGAGTGGGGGACCGAGCCGCAGAGCTGCAGACACACCTGCTTGGCTTTGCCTGCTCAGGATGCTCAGTGACCTGCAGCCCATGGGAGGGCCTCGGGGACCCTCCTGAAACGAACACGCAAACCTTTGCCCCAGACAAAGGGCACTCTTTCCCGAAGCCTTTCCTTGTCACAGACCATCTAGGTTACTAATAAATGAGCATGGAGGGTTCCTAATGTTTGGTGTTTATAAGGTAAAAGGAGCCCATCGCTAGCATTTACTGAGGCCTCTAATTCCTCATTCTACTAAGGAGTCTGGCTGTCACCCAGCTCTTGGCAACAGAAATGGCTGGGAATCCTGCAACTTCAGGGGAGGCTACCCACTGCCACCGTCCTGTCGGTGCTGCCTCGAGTTGGCCGTGCTTTCCAGCTTCACCAGTATCCATGGAGCTGGGGGTAGGCTGTATGGTTAACCCTGCAGTGTGTAGCGATGCCCATTTGCAGCACCCGTTTGGGGAGCCTACAGCTGTCCAATAACTAGATGTTAATATTTCAGATGTTATCATTCATTTGCAAATCCCCCACATCCCCGGCGCGAAGGCAGGTGTGTGTGTGCCCCTCTGGCTCCCTCCCATGTGCTTGGATGGTGGTGTGGCCTGTTAGCACACGGTTCCTTTCCCATTGGAAATCAGGACGGGCCATGGCAGGTGGACCACGGTATCTTTTATCCAAGAGGGTCCCCCGTCGACGAAGTTTGAAAGCCACTGGCTTAGAGGCACCAGCTCTTAGGGCTGAAAGGAATCCTGGCCCCCGAATCAGGGAGCCTCAGAATTGGCTACGGTTTCTTTAACAAACTAGACCCAAGAGGTAGTTTCTTCCAATTTCAAAGACTAAAGCTGGGCACACGGACAGTGGCTGCCTGCCCGCGAACATGGTATTTAATTTACAGCAGCCCAAGAGCGTAGCTTGTGCGTGTTAATATTGGATTATTTCTCTTCATAGTTAGCTGCCTCCTCACTTCACCATTTCCATGGCAACCCTTCTCAAACACCACTTCGTACTCTGAATACACAATGTAAACAATCTGCAGTTGAACATTTCCCGATTTAGGGGTTTGGAGCTAAAGCCAGCAGGCCTGCCATTAGGGATAAAGGTGAGACTCCCTCTGATCCCAGGAAGCCACGAGGAGCTGGCCGGGACTCATCCATCACTTAGAGCTGAGGGACTGGAGGCTCACTGCAAGTGCTCCCCCGCATGCTCATGGCAGACACCGTTGGTCCATCCTGGGCTTCTTCCCCTCAAGCCTACTCTTGCTCTGCTCCTTTGCAGCACGACGCTCTGGGAAGTCACCACCAGTTGATCAGAAATGGCGTGTAAGACCAAGTTCAGTTGCCATTCCAGCAGAACCGATACTTGACCCGGTATCGCAAAAGGAATGGCATGAGTGTGGGTCACTCGTGGGTTCCAGAAGCCAGGAGATCCAAGCACTAAGAAGACAAAGCTGGAGGAAGGCGACTCGGTGAGCATCATCCGCATGCCAGACACGACGGAGGTTAGTGCTCCCATATGCATGACCTTGTCGCACCTTCGACACCTCACCAAATCCCCATAGAGGGGGGAGTCAGGGGTGGGCTCAAGTCCAGACAAAAATCAAACCAAGGGGCAGAGCCAGATGGAGAATGTTAGAGAGACACTAAGGGTGGACAGAGCCAGAGGCATCAGTCAGAGCAAGTCCATAAGGTGCTCCAGGGAATGGATGGGGGGAAGCAAGATCCAGGGATGAACCTAAATGACAACAGTGGAGCCCAAGCCCCGTGCTGGGAGCTGAGTGCGGCAGCGGGGGGGAATGCAAGTTTGGGAGAACGGCCGGTGCACCCCAGGGCTATGTTGGGAGTGCGGGTGGTGTCCGCAGCTCACTCTCGAGGGCTTTGGGGCATGTGGCATAAGAGAGGGGCTCCTACAAGATGTTCAGAGCTCAGTGGATGGCGACAGAGCTTTAAGGAAAGACCAGCCCCATTGTTCACAGCCAGGAAACTGAGGCACGAAGAGATGAAGTGACACTTTCAGAGCCACCCAACCTGTGAGGCCCATGTGAGACTGGGGTACAGGTCTGCAGACCCCCAAACCCTGCTCATTGTCTTATGGATCACTGCCTCATCGCAGATCTTCCTCTTCCGGTTCAGTCATAAAAACTAGGCGGGAGGGGACAGCACGGAGAGTAACTGGGGTGTAGAGTCTGAGGAGAAGTACAGTGGGCAGGCAGAAGTGGGGGGGGTAGTGGAGGGACCCTGAGGAGGCAGGAGCCTGGCCAGGAAGCCGTCTTTTCTCCAGGGATCTCGTGACAGGGCCAGAGTGATTGTCCAGAGCTGCCTGACCTGGGACTTCTGCAGTTGGTCGCGACAGTCTCTGTGCCTCTCGTTTTGAGAATTGCCTCCTCTTGGCTTGCTGGCTGCAAGGGTGGTCCCTGAGGCAGCCCAAACTGACACCTCTGCCTCAGGGAAAGTCACTGATCCATCCAGGCGGGGGTGCCTGGAGTAAAGGGACGCCTCCCAGAGGGCCACCATCGACAGGTGCTTCTGGGGCCTCCATGGGCTCCATGTTCAGGCAGCTCCATTGGAGGAGTTGTCTTTACTCAAGAAAACAGGGACGCAACCTGCTGTCCATCGAACAGCCCAGAACCCCAGGGAAGCCATTGATATTTTCTTTTTATCAAAGGAGTTATTTTTATTTCCAGTCTCTGCCCACACATAGTAATGCATACATTTTCTACATAGTTATAAGCATGACAAGGAGGATTATTGGTTTGTTTGTTTGTTTTTTTAAATAGAAAAATCGCAGACCTTTTTCTGTCAACTTCGTAGCAACCCTTAGCATCTTTTGATTTCTGAGCGAATGAATCACATGATTGCTGTGTCTTTAGCAATGAACCAGAGGACGATCCTGACGTCAGGAAGATGAAGAGAGGCTCAGATGGCATGTTTGGGAAAATGCCACCGGTGGGTGTCCTATGGGGGTAGGCTGCTAAGGGTCAGGATTTTGGGAAGTGATAGGGGAGGGCTCCCCATTTAGCTGCCAAGCAGGCTTTGGAGAAGTGGGGGGCAGAGGGGGGATGCAGTCCATCATTTGTAGGTTTTAAACAAGCAAACAGAAAGGGAGGCTCATTCCTAGCACAGTCGGTGCAGGTTTCTGCCTTTCCAGCCACATCCCAGGGGCCCAGAGCAGCTCCACTCAGCCATCGGAGCCCTGGCTCTTCCTTTGAATTTGCTTTCACTGGTTACCAAGGTGTGCTCTGGGGGTGGGGGGTTGCCTGCTGTCTGTTCTCCTAGGGATGGCCCATCAGGTTCCCCTGGTGACGCTAGAAGGGTCACCAGATCTGTAAGAGTGCCCCTGAGAGCCAGGGCTGGCCTCCAGGTCCCATTCTGCAGCCTGTGCTGAGCTTGTCCTGCTTGGGGCCCTTGTAGCAGGCTCTCAGAATATTACCATGGAGCAAATCCACACACACTTCTGGGCTCTGGGCTATAAACCTGGGGCCCTGACAATGCCCATCTCTGTGACCCCCTCTCCTCCCCACCCCCAGTGACTTGGACATCGTTGTTCTGCCTCCTGCTGCAGTCTTCTCAGAGGAAAGAGGGGGCTGAGAACCGTACCGTGCCTCCTGTCCTTAGAGGAGTCCTCTTTACTACGGCAATTTGCCACATGGAAAGAGCCACAAGCCAGGAGACCAAGGCCTGGCTCCACTGACTCACTGTGACCCTGGGAAGGTCATGCCCCTTTTCTGGGCCTCAGTCTCCCCATCTGTAAAATGCAGGGATTAGGCTACATCAGTATTCCTCAAAACACCAGTTCTATGGGAACGTACCCAGGGATAGGAGCAAAAAGGGTTCCAGGGCCACATAAGTTTGGGAAATGTTGGATTCGGCAAAATGAAAGATGCCCCATTGTTGCAGATCTTCTCAGAGCCTTTAAAATACCTTGTAGATTTCCAAAAGGGGATTGTAGCATAAGGAATTTTTGAAATTTATTTGAATGTCAAACATCTCAATCTTTTTAGCGTGAGCATTAGAATTCTCTTTCTCTCCTTGGAGAGGCAAGGAGAAATTGATCTTCACTTCTTTGAGCATCCACGGCTGTTTGGTCTTTCAGTTTTTTTCTAAACTACAAATAGTCCTGGTAAGGTCTTGGGAGTAGGATGAGGATCACCTTAAGAGTTCTTGAGAGTCCTTAGAAGAAGGGTTTGGGGGAAGGGTTCTAGTCCTCCAGAATTTGTATTCAAATTCCCATGTGTATAGTTTGTACACTTTCCCAGGGGGGCAGGTGGGGGACATAGGGTCTGTAGCATTCTGTGAATTTTCAAAGGCATCTGTACCCCAAAGATGGTGACTCACTGCCTTTAGAATCTTACCTTGGTAGAAAGGAAGTTGGACTATGTAGGAGTTTGGATGTGAAACAAACTAGGTGGGACTTGGCTATCTTACTGGGAGTCAGGGCAGTGGGAACAGGGAACAGAAATGACAGGGAAGTGGGTAGAGGATGGGGACAAGGAGAGAGATAAGCAGCATCTCCATCCTCGGCAGGCCCTGGCACCCCCAACTTCTTCCCTGGTCCCTCTGTGAGTGCTCCTGAAACTCATCCCCTGGTTCTTAGGTATGCAACTTGGCTGCTGAATATTCATGTTTGTGGCAGGGAGAAAATTACTGCTGTCTCAGAAAACTCCATCTCTTACAGGTCAACAGGGCTCCATTTATAAAATTGTTGCTTGAGGGCACCAATGTCCTGAGAGTATGTGTGTCTTCAAGGCCAGACACTTTCTCTCACTTCCTCAGAGACACTAGGGCCTCTATCTTGGACTCTTTCCACGCAAACCCGAGGGGGATGTGAGAAGCTCAGAAATGGTTGCAGGAAACCACCTCCTCATTACAGAAGTGCAGCCTGCACAGACGTATGTGCCAAGGCAGTGGGGCATTCTTGAGGTGACCAAGAGAATGTTCTGGTCCTGGAACCAAGACCCAGAGGCGTGAAGTCTGGATCCACAGAGGGAGCCTGTGAAGAGTTCATTCAGAAGCTGAGTTCTAAAGTTCACCATTCTGGCCCGCTGTTGTCTTTTGATCACTGGCCTTTGAAACGGAATACTAATCATAAGTTTATACATTATTATTTACAGGCAGCCTGAGGGATTAGAATTCTCTAGGCTCGAAGGGCCCCATGACCGCTCACATGCATGACCCAGTGGAAGGTGGTTTCGGTGGTTGTCAGAGGGGAGAGCAGAACTGTGTGTTGGTCACAAAAGCTCTTTTCTTTCCTTTCTTGGATATCTTCTGAAGTATCTGCATGTCCCTACCCAAAATATCTCCACCCTGCAGGTAAGAATTTGCTAGAGCGTTTGCTTTCAGAACCTGGTTAAAAGGGGGAAGGAGAATGGAGAGGCCCCAAAGCTAGCTAACAACATTCTTCAGAAATCCTTTAAATTAATTTAAAACGCTGAGTCATACAGACCCATCAGCATTGCATAACAGCCATTAAAGTATTAGTATTACTTTGGGGGGCCCTTTATTATGCAACACAGTGATAAATCTCCTCTGGGCCTTTTTTTTTTTTTTTTTTTAATTCCCCAAAAGACTTGCAGAATTTATTTTCAAATGGGTTGAGTCTGTTGTTCCGGCCTCCTATTCAGCCTTTTGCCTCAAAGTAAGGGTCGTGGTCCATGTGAAAGTTAGTATCTAACATTAAAACCCTGCTTGATAGTTTAAAAACATTTTGAACCATGTACAAAAAGAGAACCACCAACCCATTCACTTAACGAGTGTTTACTGACGGCTTATACATGCAGGAGAGTAAGCTCTGCACCTGAAACTCAGTTTCGGCCTTTGTCTTTTCTGGGTCTCCATTTCCTCACGTGAAAAAGGGGGCCTGGGATAGGAAGGCTCATTCTTGAGGCAGGACGGTTAAGGGCAGGGATCCTGGACCCTGACTGCCTGCCTCTGAATCCCAGCTTTGTCAATTAGGAGCTGTGTGACTCTGGCAAGTTACTTAACCACTCAGAACCCTTGGACTGCTTCACCTGAAAACAGAAGAGGATAATGGTATTTACCTCCCAGAGTTGTTGGCAGGATTAAATGAGTCAATAGATACAATGTACTTGGAACACTGCCTGGCCCAGACCAAGGGTATGTGAATATGATACATTGTTAGGATTGTGTTTGTTGAGTCCCCGACCAGATGACTGCTTGTGCATGGCCCAGACTATTTGCCACGTCACTTCCTCTTCTCCCTGGGCACACAGTTGGACTTCATGTCCAGCCTCCCTTGCAGCCGTGGCCACGTGGCTGAGTTCTAACCCATAGGATGTGGGGGCAGTTGGGAGTTGCCACATCCAGGTCTGACCTATGAAAACCTTCCACTTGGGACTCTCTATGTCTTTCCCCCACTGCTGTCTCAGTGCAGACCAGCTTGCCGCCCACCAACCCCCTCCCTGCCCCCCGGAAGCCATGTGCTGAAGATGGCACAGCCACGAGATGGAAGGGACCGTGATTCCTGGCCAACCACATGGAGAAG